GGGATAGGGGCGCTATGGGGTGTAGGGGCAACGGGGTGTAGGGGCAACAGGGTATGGGGGAAAATGGGGTGTAGGGGTTCAGGCCCCACTCTGGCACTGGTGTCCCTGCTGTCCCCACTGTTCCCGTGTCCCACCAGGCTTTGAGCGGGTGCAGAACTTCCGCAAGAGCGACGGGTCCTACAGTGCCTGGCAGCACCGGGGGGGCAGCACCTGGTGAGGGGATGGGGGACATGGGGGGACATGGGGGATGTGGAGGGACATGGGGGGACACTGGGACACGGGAGCCCTGGGGTCATGGTGGCAGCGGGCTGTCCCAACAGGCTGACGGCGCTGGTGCTGCGGGTGCTGGCCCTGGCCCGTCCCTACCTGCCGCTGGATGCTGGTGGCCCTGGGACATCCCTGCGGTGGCTACTGGGACAGCAGCGGCCCGATGGCGCCTTCCGTGAGAACGAGCCTGTCCTGCACAGAGAGATGCAGGTGGGGATATAAGGACAGGCCACCTCCGGGGCCACCTCCATGGTCACCTTCAGGGTCATCTCGTAGGACACCTCTAGGCTCACCTCCATGGTCATCTCCCTGAGTCACCTACTTGTGTAACCTCCCTGGACCACCTCCAGGGCCACCTCTAGGTTTACATCCCCAGGTCCTGTCTTCAGTCCACCTCCTCATGTCACCTCCCCAGACCACCTCCCTGGGTCACTTCCTTGGATTATCTTCCTGGGCCACCTCCTCGAATCACCTGCCCATGTCACCTCTCCGTCCTCTGTCCCCATGCAGTATCCCCATCCACGTCCCTGTGCAATGTCCCTGTGAAATGGCCCTGGACCACCTCTCCATGCCACCTTGCTGTGCCACTGTCCTGTGTCACCTCCCTGGTCCACCTCTCTGTGCAATGTCCCCATGCAACATCCCTGTGATGTTTTGCCATGATATGTCCCCACGCAATGTCCCCATGCCAGTTCCCCCCACCACATCCCCATGCAATGTCCCCTCTGCAACGCCCCATGAGACCCTGTGTCACACTATGTGTCACCTGCCATGTCCCCCCCTTTTCACACCCTTCCGGATGCCCCTGTGTCCCCAGGGCAGTGTGGCAGATCCAGGTCCTGAGGCCACTGTGTCCCTGACAGCCTTTGTGGTGGTGGCCCTGCAGGGGGCACGTGTCCTCCTACCACCGGACAGCCCTGACCACCCCCTCTTGGTGCGTCTCCATGTCCCCTCCCTGTGTCCTTTCCCCATGTCCCCTCCTCACGTCACCTCCCCATCCCCATGTCCCCTGTCCCCTCTCCGTATCCTCAGTATCCCCTATCCCCTCCTGTTTGTGTGCCCTCTGGTGTCCCCCCACAGGTCCTCACATCCCCCACTGCTGTCCCTGTGTCCCCATGCCCCACCTCTGGGTGCTGTCTTCTGTCCCCACACTCCTGTCATGTCCCTATGTCCCCATGCCCCCCACGTCCCTATATGTCCCCCATGTCCTCCCACATCCCTATGTCCCCACCATGCCCCACCATGCCCTCTATGTCCCTATATGTCACCCATGTCCCCCATTTCTACTATGGCCCCCATGTCCCCCATGCCTACTATGTCCCATGTCCCACCATGTTCCCCCACGTCCCCCCGTGTCCCTGTATGTCCCCCATGTCTCCCATGTTCCCCCATGTCCCTCGATGTCCCTTATATCCCCATGCCCCATGTTCCCTGTCCCTTCTCCCTCTGCTGCAGGATGAGGCTCTGTCTCGAGCTGTCACCTTCCTGCGTGGCCATGTGGAGACATTGGGGACATTTGGGACAGCCATCACCACCTACGCGTTGGCACTGGGGGACACTGGCCCCCCCGGCCCCTCCCCCACCCTGGAGCGCCTGCGCCGCCTGGCCCGGCCCGCCCAGGGTGAGCCCCAGATGCCTGGGTCCCCCCAGGGTCACTTGGGGTCACCAGGACACCATTATCCCTCTGGGGTCACCTTGGGATCACCTGGATGCCCCAATGACACCCAAACACCTTGGTCACCCAGAGACCTGGGGACCTGGGCAGTGACACCCAGGATGCCTGGATCCCTGGGTAGGAGGGGTCAATGGTCCCTCCAGGACCACCCAGGTGCCTGGGTCCCTCTGGGGTCACCCTGGGGTCACCCTGGGGTCACCTGGTCTCCTGGGTCCCTGTATGGGGGTCACCTAGGTCCCTCCAGGGTCACACGGATGCCTGGGTCCCTGGGTGGGGGTGGGTGTCTCTCAGCCCCTGGTGTCCTCGGGTGGCCCTGACCTGCAAAGGGGTGTCCCTGCAGGTGGCCGGGCGCAGTTCTGGCCAGCCGGTGGCCCGGCGGCCACAGTGGAGGCCACGGGCTACGGGCTGCTGGCGCTGCTGCAGCTCCACGACGGGGCCGGCGCTGCCCGGGCGGCCCGATGGCTCCGGGAGCAGAGCAACTACGGCGGCGGCTTCCGCTCCACACAGGTCCCCAGCACTGGGTCCCCTGGAGTGGGAGAGGGGGCTGTGGGGGTGGGGGATCCCCTGAAAGCCTGGGTTCCATATGTGGGAGCCCCCCACATGTCTGGGTCTCTCAGGGGCCCTAGGGGCGGTGAGGGTCCTGGGGGAGGGGAGTGTGTGGACACCTGGGTCCCCTGGGGAGGGGGCGTGGGGGAGGCCCTGGATTCATGAGTCCCACCTTCTTGGTGGCCCTGGATACCCAGATCCCACATTCTTGGTGTCCCCAGATACCTGGGTCCCTCGGATGCCCCAGCCCCCTGGGTCCCCAGCAGTGTATGTGTGTGTGTGTGTGTGTGTGTCTCCTGGACACCAAGGTCCTTGTGAGTGGGGGTGCCTATGGGTGCCCTGGAGTGTCCCACCCACCTGAACGCCCAGGTGCCCGCAGGACACGCTGGTGGCCCTAGAGGCACTGGCCCAGATGTGGTTGCAGTGGGGGGATGCAGCTGGATCTGGCCTCAGCCTGGGGCTGTCCTGGCCTGGAGGAGCCCGGGGGAGACCTGGGGAGACACAGTTGACACTGGGACCCGGCCTGCAATCGCTGGAGAAGGAGCTGCAGGTGGGGATACTTAGGAGGCACGGGGAACATGGAGGACATGGCTGGGGGACACAGGGACGTGGGCCGTGTTGGGCTCCCTCACCCTCTGATTCCCCCTCAGGCTCCCCTGGGCAGCCCCATCACGGTGCGGGTGGAGGGACACGGCGAAGGGACCCTGATGGTGAGTGACCTCCTGGGCACCCAGGTCCCCTCTCCTGGATGCCTGGGTCCCTCCTGGACCTCTGGGTCCCTCCTGGGCACCCAGGTCCCCTCTCCCGGACACCCGGGTCCCCTCTCCTGGACCCCTGGGTCCCTCCTGGACCCCTGGGTCCCTCCTGGACACCCGGGTCTCCCACAGGTGCTGCGCCAGTTCCGCCTGATGTCCCCCCTCAACGGCTCCTGCCAGGGGCTGGGCTTGGGGGTGGCCATCACTGGACCAATCATCTACGAGGGTGAGGCCACGCCCACCACAAGCACCTCCCATATGGGCCACGGCCCCCCTTAATGCCCACCCTCCCCCCGGCAGAGGAAGACTATGAGGATGATGAGGAGGAGGTGGAGCTGGAGGAGGAGGCGGAGCCTGTGAATGGGACTGGGCCTGAGGGGGTGGAGCCAAATGAAGAGGCGGGGCCTGCAAAGGGGGTGGAGCCTGCCGAGGCCACTGCCCCCCTGCTCCCTCGGCGGCGGGAAGGGCACGACCCCGCCAAGGATGTTGCCTTCCTGGTCTGCATCTGGTGAGAGGGGGGGGCTTCCATCTGGCGGGGGTGGGACTTCCTGCTCCGCCCTTTAATGTGGGCGGGACTTCCAGGGTCTGCTTCCTGTTTCCATGCCTTCCTGTTCTGGTTGTAAAAGAGGGCGGGAACTTCCTGTTCTGGGTGGAAATGAGGGCAGGACTTCCTGTTCTGGGTGGCAATGGGGGCAGGAACTTCCTGTTCTGGGTGGAAGTGGGGGGTGGGACTTCTTGTTCTAGTTGTAAATGAGGGTGGGACTTCCTGTTCTGGGTGGAAATGGGGGCAGGGCTCCTGCTCCCAGTGGGGCAGGGTGGCGTGTGACTCCGTCCCCTGATGGGCACGTCCCGGGCAGGCGGGAGGCGGGGGTGGAGTTGTCGGGGATGGCGGTGGCCGAGATCTCCCTCCTGAGTGGCTTCCGGCCCCACCAGGCTGACCTGGACAAGGTGGAGGGGAGGGGGGTCGGGGGGCTGCCGGGGAGTCTAGGGGGGCATTACGGTTCTTGGGGGGTGTTGGGGAGTGTCAGGGGCTGTTGAGGTGTTGGGAGCTGTTGGGGGTGATGCGGTGGTGAGAGTTTTGAGGGGTGTTGGGGTGTCGGGGTTCTTAGGGTGTTGGGGGGAGTTGCGGGAGTTGGGTGTTGGGAGGTGTTGGGTGTTGGGGT